ACGACGCCAGGATCTGTGGCTGCTCTGGACCTTTTTCCTGCAGCGGGAAGTAGAATCTCTCAACATTAACAGCACAGCTATCCCTCTGCTCCTTCGGGGAGACCCAGCTTATGCCCCTCCAGCTTATGAAGCCTCTTTCCAAGCACTTGGATATGAAAAAGTCATCAGGCACATATAGGCTGGTAGCTGCAGAATGATTCTGGAATATGCCTTTGGAAACACAGTTAAAATCCTAGGAAGACAGGGCTGAAAGGCACCTCATGAGAAAAACCTAGTCCAGCCCGCTGCTCAGGACAGGGCCATCCCTGACTAACCCTTCCCAGCAAAGCGTCTAACCTGCTCTTGGGTTGTTGGTTATAGCCGTGTTGGTTTGAGGACATAGGCGCACACAGATATTTGGGTAGATGTGATATCTTTTATTAGTCCAACTAAACACTGTTCAACCTACTCTTGAACATGCCTAGGGATGGAGATGCCACAGCTTCAAGGCAGCCTGTTCCAGCACTCAGCTACTCTTAGGCTGGAGATGAGGAGGAACTTTTTGACTAGAAATGTCTTCTGCTGCAGTTTGAGGTCACTGCTCCTAGTCCTGTCCCCTACAGCTAAGAGTCTATTTCCCTTCAAATATTTGGGGACTGGTATCAAATTCATCCTTGGGCTTCACTTCTCCAGGCAAAGCAACTCCAGTTCCTTCAGTCTTTCCTCGTAACTCGCATTGCCCCTTGGAGAATCCCAGTAAGAAACTCCTTCCTAGAATGGATTTTTGCACCACCTTTGAGAGAGCAAGGGGGAAAAGCCTTGCACAAGGAGAGAAACAGAAGGTAGACACATTGAAGTGAACATTTTGAATAGCCAGAAAGGAGGCCTCTAGATAAAGCAACTACTGCAAGGCACAGAGAGGGATTTGTTGTGCTTCTACTTTAAGTCTGGGGACCACCCGTGGAAAGAGTATATGCTACAAATTTTACGGCACATTTTCTTGTCGAAGCATTAAGGCAAGCATTTCACCATACAGACGCATGCAAATTAGCATACGTTGTGCCTACTTTAATGCTCTTTACATTCAGTTTATGATTTCCCAATTGATATGCTTCTTTCTATTAAGGTATTGAGCCCTATTGGATATAAAGATAGTACAACTTCACAACTGAGAGGAGGGGCCAAGCCCCCAATTCATTTTTTTATAATGTATACAATAATACACCAACAGGAACTGCTCGCTTTAAAAGCGTTTTATTGAGTAGTAACAGTACTGGGCGCACTTTGAAGACACCACACTTCAGCAAGGCAATCTGTCTCTCCATCACGCAAGTCCTGCTCTTCTTCCTCAAGCTGCTGATGCTACACTAAAAGAAAGAAAACAAAAAAAGTCATCTACAACGAAGGAGACCACTTCAAAAAGTGTAATTTTTCCTGAATGCTATCATTTTGGAGTGGAGGGGTGGGCTTAGCTAATGAAGCAGAGGAGGAAAGTTAAACAAAGACATGATGGGGGATGTGGGTGGGAACCTAAATTATGTGGTGTTTGTGTTTTAATATCTTTATGAATTTTGCAAAGTCACCAGGCAAATCCTTTGCACGAGCACTGGGGACGCGTGTTAGAAGTCCCCCAAGGTGGAGAAGAGTTAGACAGTATGACAGCAATGACATAAAATCCAATACTTACAGGGACCAACCTCCATCTGTGGTCCTGGTTTGTCCTCCATTTCTGCTTTATATCGGAGGCTGCTCAGGACTTCTGTGACCACGAGACCCAACACCCATTAGGCAGAAGAGCCACTACCGTCAGTGGAGAATCCATCGGGGGTTCACAACAAGCTCTAGTACAGTGGTGGAAGATAATGACAAGCTCCTCGTAGTAAGAGCGGGCCGTGCAGCCACACAGCTCATTGCATGCCTACAGACCAGCCAGAGATCCTTCCTTACGGAGACACTGAAAACTCTCTGTTGTGCCCCTTGGCTCAGCATTTGCTCAACACATGAGCAAAAGAAGGCTCTTCTCCCCAGAGATCAACAACAGGTCAGGATCTCAATACAAGGAATGAAGAGTACGTGAACTTCCCATGAACTGCAAGTGCTAAAAAACAGCACCTGGGTGCACAGAGCCATTTCAGCGGAAGGGAACAGCTGATCAAGATGAACCCAGAGGGCACGCAGACGTGTCCCAGGTAGCCAAAGCAGCATGGGATCCTCATAGATGCACAAAAAGAGTGTTAAATGCAGATGCACCAAAAAGTACTTTGCAATAGGTGAAAAAAAACCCCCAAACCATCCTGCATCTGAATGGGCTGCTTCCAAAGTGGGTTTGATAATGTGCAGTGAGAGGCCAGATCAGCATTACTACATTTTGCTTGACGCAAGGCATTTGAATGCAAATCAACTCAACCCACAACTCTGAAGTGGAGGCCAGCCCTTTGACCGTAACCTTTTCAAGGCAGGGAGTTGTCTTAAGTCATCTTGGTTAATTCTCTGTTCTACACAGTCCACCGAGTCATCCGCTTGTTCCACAAACCTTTAAATTGCTGTTTTCAATTGTCCGCAAGCTAGCTGCAAATAAGTGAACTGAATTACATATCTTGTAGCTGTGCGCATCTCTGCGCTGCAACTTATGTAGATATAGCACCCCAGCTCGCTTTGAACAACTGGTTCAGAAGAAGGGATGCGATGAATGGAAATGTTTGGGATTTCCTTTGGAAAAGCCAGAACTGCACCAGCACGTAACAGCCCCTAGTCAAAGGGCTGATGAGACCGGCCAGAGGAAAAAGTTGGATTTGCATTTGCAAAGGCAATTCTCTGATGACTGACGGAAACCCTAGGAAGTTTGAGAAAGACACCTGCCCAGCCAGGGGCCATAAAACGATTAGCAGAAGAAGTAACACGATTCATTTATTAGCATATCATTGGAAACACAAGAGAATGGGTCGTTGCATTATAGTGCCTTGAAAGTACGAGATGCAGCAAAACACGGAGACTGCCCGGGGGCTGACGGAAAGACAGCTCGGCCTCACCTCTTCACACGTCACGGCCGCGAGCTGTTCATACGGGAGTACCACCACCAGCTTCACCTTGCCCGCTCGCGTGCCAAACCCGCCCACGAGGCAACGCTGCCTCCGAAGGGCCCCGAGCCTCTGCTTTGGCCTTGCTAAGCACCGTGAGCTCGAGGTCACTTAAAGGCAGCTGCCAGGCCTTGTTTTTGGGATCTGACAAGAGCAAAGCAGGAGGGAGCGGGCAACAGGAGCTGCTAACGATGCTCTGGGGCTCTGCAGAGACAGCAGACGTGCCCGTAGGGACTGTATAGTATCACGTAATACACCATAAAGAAAGGAGTGCATCCATGGGGCTCTACGCCTTGCAACTTTACCCCTTTTCCGGTGTATTTAGCCACTCTTCTTAATAAACACCTAAGTGCTGGAGAAAACACAACCGCCCTCTCTCACAGACAGCGTGGAGGTGTCCAAAGGCTCCCGATCCCCCCCGAGAGACGTGCAAGCGGGGAAGAGATGCACCTGTTGCACAAAGCCAGCCTCCGGAGCTAAATCTTCCCCATCGCAAACGTCCACGTCGGCGGGTCACGCCGCACCGCACCGCGCAGAGGAAGTCACGCTGCCCTGCACGGCCAGGTGGAAGCGAGACTCCCTTTGAAACCGCAGAATCGGCGCGCGCTAATAAATACGGATTAGGGTCCCGGTGGTTTTCCCGAGACCCCTTCGGACACGCCGTCTTTCCACCCGAGCCCTCGCGCCAAGATCTCCTCGGCCGAGCTGATGTCACGTCCCGGGCGCGCTCCACCAGTGTGAGAGCGGCACTGGGGTAACCACAGGAGATAGCTCCCCATGAGGACCCCTCGCCGTGACGTCACCCCCGCGGGGCCCCGCCCCCCGTGACGTCACGCGGGATGCCCCGCCCCGTGCCCCCCTGGCCCGGGCCCGCGCGCTCACCAGTACTTGAGGATGGCGGTGACCTGCAGCGGGTTGGGCTGCTCGGGGTAGAGACGGCGGCACTCGCCGTAGATGCCGTGCAGGCCCGG